GGAGGCGCACGGAGACTCTTGCATTCCCTACCTTTTCTCCACCGAGGCAAAGGGCAAACTGGGAAGACGGAGTAAACGGGTGACAGAGGACAGAGCGCGCAGAGCTGGCAGAGTACCGCTTCTAATGCCGATGCACCGACGTGGGCAGAGAACAGCGGGAGCAGCATCAATGTTCCAATGCTACTCACGGTACCTACAGCCGACGCTGCCCGACTCCTGTCAGTATCATGTCAAGGAAGCAATAGAGCCCGGAGGATATCACCCCTTTGGGAGCCCCTGACGCGTGCACCTTCGCAGGTGTGCTTGCGGCGTACTGCACAAATGTGCGTCGATTGGGAGTGTTTACCGAAAGTCGCTTAAATCTCAGAGGTTGAGAAAAGTGGCCAGCCCGACTCCGAAATCGTTAAAACGTTCGACATTTCGGCATCGGCTGTTCGACACTGTCCACCGTTTTGCAGAACAAGCAAGGTATATTGGACACAGGGCCGTAACCAGGGGGGGGGGTTAGGGGGTTCTGACCCCCCTCGAAAATTTTTTTCTGGGTACGGCCCTGGTCGGTGCACTTGCAGCCAGCCGATTGTAATCTCCGCCTCTGCGCACGCGCAGTGGCGCCGGTCGGCTACCAGGTACCAAACCGGGACCGGTTCTCCGGTTTGCTGTAACTCTACATTATATGCCACCGATGCACATGATTCATAGGCGAAAATAAGACAATAGACACTTTCAAAATGGCCGCCGTTGACCCCGAAAACCCCCCCCCCCCCGAAATTTTTTTCTGGGTACGGCCCTGATTGGACAAGTTCGAGAAGTTTCTCATGCAGGAGCAAACGTGCCCGCGACCCGAAGATGAAAGATTGCCAGCTACTTTCCGCACATCGGATTTTCTCTCGCGAGCATGCTTGCCAAGCCGGCACACGATTTTCATAGCTGCAACAATCTCAACAAGAGTGTGTGAGAACATGTTGACAAAGCCACCGTTTTGGATCAGATAACTTTGATTCGTTCGCGCTTGTTGATCCGGACGTGCCTGTTGTTGCTCTTGCCAAGGATGCTGCGATTGTAGACCTTGCGTGCGACCAGGGTTAACAACAAAACAAAACAAACGACGACTGTGGAGACTCGAAACATCCTACGGCTCCTTCAAAACAAAGTGGAATGCAGCAGCGGTGACTGTGTTCTTGCAATGCCGGGAGTAGTTCTAGGACTTAATTATGTTTTTACTTGGTAAAGCTGCCACGAGATGTTCATAACCAAAGCTTGTTTATTTAAATATACGGTCGGAGTGTTCCGCAGTGTTAACGTCCACCTTCAAGGCTGCTGGCGCTGTTTTTTTTTTGGCTCTATCGCTTTTGTCAAATTACCGCTTATACCGAATATTTTTGCCGTCCCGTTGACTTTGTTATAATGAGGGATTACTGTACTTGTGTTTCATTCCATTAATTTTGTGATTTACAAACAAATCTGTTACATTCAGTATATCTGTTTTATTTCCCTGGACTCGGCACGTAGACGTGGTTATGCCAAAAACTTGCGGCTGTGTCGTACACACAACCCACCCGTTTTTAGAGTGCAGCTCTTATGGCGCGTTCACACTGGAAGCGGATCCGCGTTCGCGAAGCGGGTCCGCGCGTTCTCAACCGCAAAGCGGCTAGGATCGAGCGGTTGGAGCGCGTTTTTGCCAACCGCTTCGGGACCGATCTCTCCCAACCGCTTTCACGAACCGCAAAGCGGCAACCAATCACAACGCGACGCTGACGTGACGTCAGTGACTTTCGAAACAAGATGGCACCTGTCGCTGGTGAGGCGTCCAAGGCGCTGTAGTCCTAACGCTGTAGTCTTAGCTTTCGACAAATCAACGGAGAAACTTGATGTTCACGTCCGTCACTTGAATCTGCCGCGAAAAGAATTGACACGGTAATTTTAACGGGCTTCGCACCAGTGATTTGGTTCGGGTAAGAGTTTGTTGATTATTCCGGGTGCCACAGCCCAAGCTCGCTGCCTTGTTAATCTCTGCCTGTAGAACGTCGGAACCTGCCCCTGATCGACCGAAATGTCAGCTTTTCTACCCATAGGATAGTCGCGTGAACTATTGAAAGCTTTCGACACCGTGCATGAACACCACGAAGGCCGATAGAGACGTCGTGAGCTTGATTGCGTAGCCAACGCACTACCGCGGAGGGGGCAGGGTACCTGCGCTAGCTCGACCTGTAATGTTTACTACTAATAACATAAATAAAGGAAAGCTACTCAAGGAATAAAGTGTACGTACCAGACAATGCAGAGGTAATCCATACGGCGTTTATTTGAGCTTAATGTCAAACAAACAGTAGACTCGATCGACGAGCGAGTGACGAGAGGAGAGTCTGCCACCAACGAAGCCACGACCGGCTAGCACCGAACACATTTCCCCGCACCACGGTCCACCCCACCGCTCACAACTTCGAAAATGATAAGAGCGAACAACAACGAGGGGGAAAACTGGCCCTCTATCCCGAAAACAAGGTCAGCTATTCATGAGGGAAGGGTCCACTTCGGAGAAAAGGTCGGGGGCATCCTGTTCTGAGTCAGCAAGGCGCGCCTAGCTGGGCTTTGCTTGTGGGCGAAGTGGAGGGAATCACAGGCGGGTTTGGCGGGTCCGTGCTTCCTTTTTCGCTGCCTGAACTCGTGATGTGCGCGAACATCCCGGAGAGAAATATTCTGAGTGCCAAAATAGCCAAACTTTGGCTTAGATCTTGAATTAAAGTGGATTCTGGATTGTAAAACAGGGTTGCCAAATGCAAGTCTCGAAAGATCACGCGTGATCGCCGAGAAACCGCCAACCGGCTCTCGGTGAGTCTGAACGGGGTCGCTCGCGAACCGCATCCGCGACCGCTTCACGAACGCGGATCCGCTTCCAGTGTGAATGCGCCATTAGGCGCCCGTTTCCGGCTTGAGTGGCGTCGCCGTCAGCTTGACCTGGGGGGGTCACGTGACCCCCCCAGGTCACGTGACACCCAACAGGTCACGTGACCCCCCCCCCCCCCCCAGAGGGTCACGTGACCTGGGGGTGATTCTATATTTCAGAGCACAGCTCCTAGGCGGCCATTTCCGGCTTGAGCGGCAAGGAGGACAGCAGTAGGAGGGAGATGGGGGAGGAGGGGAGGAGGAGTAGCAGGCAGGATCATGAGGGAGGAGGGGTATACCCTCCCCTCAGTACCTTTCCCTCCTCCTCCTCAAGAGCTGCACTCCAATTCGGCGTTACAGGGAGTTGTAAACGGCTTTCATTTTTTTCTCTAACAGTCAGTCTTTGTAGGAACGATGAGGGGCATCCCAAAAGTTCTCGGCCTGGCACAGAAGGAATGTGAGCAGAGACACAAAACTTTATTATAGCAGATGGGCACTTCTTAAGATTTGCGACACCAAAAATGCCGCATGCGCACAATTCGGTTTTCTCGTGGCAGCCACCAACAGGTAGCAATCTGCTCATGCGAGCTTAAGCGAAGAAAGGAAAGACATGTTCGGTGATTTAATATTTGTCTCAGAAAGGCCTAAATCCGGCGGGCATTTACAAATGCATGGTGGCAACTTAGGCACAAGATGCATCCTACAGCACGGTGAAGAAGTGGGCCACAAAATTCAATCGAGGATGGGAGAGCCTCGAAGACAAACCCTGTCTTGGCGGACCTGCAAGAGTGACCACGCAAGAAAACATCGACCTTGTGCACAATGAGGTAATAGCATTGCCGAGTAAAAATTCAAACCATTGCACAGGTCACAAGCATTTCCAAAACCACAGTTCTGTGGGCTCTACCCAACATCTTGACACGCACAAGGTCTTCGCCAGATGGGTTCCAAGGTTGCTCTCGTGTGACCAAAAACGCACCTGCTACATCTACTAATCCAGGGACAATCTCGAGCTGTTCAGGTCAGATCCCACAGGCTTCTGTGCCCGATTTGTGACTGTGAGCGAAACTTGGGTCCACCACTTTCAACCCGACAGCAAAACCCAGTCTAAACAATGGAAAGACCCCTCCTCTCCACTGCTGAAAAAGCTTGGTCTGTTCTATGAGTGGGCAAGTTGATGGTCACTGTTTTCTGGGACTCCGAAAGCGTACTGCTCAGCGATTACCTTCACAAAGGGCAAAGCATCCCCGGGAATTACTACACAACCCTGATTCATCGCCTGCGGGATGTGATCAAAGCCAAATGTTGCTGTGTTCTCTGGAAGAAGTTTTTGTTCCATCAGGACAATGTGTCCCCACACCGCACTGCTGTGGCAATGGCTGCCATCCACTCCTGCGGCTTTTTTGTGGTCAACCATCCACCGTACTCGCCAGATCTCATTTCATCAGACCTCCATCTTCTTCACTCAGCTGAAAAAAAGACTTTCTGATGTTTGCTTTTTACAGCGGAGCTGTTAAGCGCTAGGTTCCCCAGGATTGTCTCCGTCCGCACAGAGATGTAAACACAACACTCTGGTTGCCGCCGTCGCTCATAGATGGCAGTAGCTGTCCAGAGTGTTGTGTTTGCCTGTTGTCTGCTTGCCGCCGTCGTTTATGGATCGCGGCAACCTTTCCAGCCTTTCCACTCTGGCTTGCCGACTTGCGGACTGCCATTATACTTCATTCCCACCATAGTAGAGCTTTGCTGGTCTTCCTTCTTCACCAGTGTGGAAAAGCTGAAAGTTTTTCAGTAATGATGACGTCCTTGATGCTTGACCTGCTTTTTGGAGGACCAAAATTTTTTATTTTTGTTCAAAGGAATTTAGGCGTTGGGTCATCGTTGGGTGAAGGGTGTGGACCTCAAAGATGACTATCTCAAAAAGTAACATAAGTTCATTGACCTCTGTCACCTGCTTTTGGGTCAGGCTTAGAACTTTTGGGACACCCCTAGTATTTTGTGCAGCATATGTAATCTGTGAAAAACTTTTCACAGAGTTTTCTTGAAGTGACATTGAGCATAAGGCCATTGTTGTTTGCAGCCATACATAATTCTTTGTGGCACTGCATCACTGTGTGCAGGTCTGCAGGGCATAGAGCTGGGCAAGTACCTTATCAAGGGGGTCGTGAAAGAAGTCAAGGCAGAGTTTCCCCACATCCAGGATTTCTCTTCCCTCTCACCCATCCCCGGCTTCAAGAACTGGCTTGTTTCGGAAGTCCACAAGGTCATCAAAGGTTGGGGTTTTCTCCTCTTTTGAGGCTCACACTGCTGTGCAAGCCACATATGATGGGTCCTGTTTAAAACAAAAATTATTCGGTTGAACCTTGTTAATTCAAAGTCGATCGGACGACAAAAATTATTGGATATGTTATGGACATTTAGCCACGAAAATGGGATAAGCAATCTCTCGGGGGAAGGCGCTTTTACAGGATTTTACGGTAAGTAGATTTTTAAATTACCCGAAAAAAAAAACTACAAAAATGGTGCACTGAGCATGCAAATATTGTATGCAAACCCAAATGGCACAAGTTTAAATGAAACACTTCATTAAAGATGAGACACATTGAGTAATCATCAACGTGGGTCTAGTTAGCAGCCATCCTAAGTCACATCTTAGAAATAGGTCAACCAATCAAGCTGATTGGTTAGCCCTTTTTCTTCAGCTCCCATCAGACTTACATGGTGAATAAAGCAATGTATTAAGTGCAGTGCAATCTTTCAAAATCATCACCATTGCACTCCTTGAAGCTTCAGACAACATTGAGCGATCGAATAATTTCTCATAAAGTGGGAGCCCGACGCAAGTCATCATCGTTACCACATTCTGCTATCGCACTTTCAGCTAATGTCGAGGTCGGTTGTAACAAAGTCAATGGGAATTAGAAATCACTTTGCCATATCCGCTTTTTCATTATATCTGGACTCTATAAAAGTATCACACACAAAAAAAAAAAACATAAGACGGGCCGTCACTTGCACATGTTTATTGTGCCTGCAGAAAGTCAATGGGAATTAGAAATCACTTTGCCATATCCGCTTTTTCATTATATCTGGACTCTATAAAAGTATCACACACAAAAAAAAACATAAGACGGGCCGTCACTTGCACATGTTTATCGTGCCTGCAGAAAGTGGTCGAAGCTTCCGTGCAAGCGCTCTCTGCTAAATCGGAGCCGCTTCTCGCCAACTGCAAGAAGCTCCGATGAGAAAAAGATCCTGCGAGCTGCGTACGGACGGTGTCGACAGCTGTGACGGCCGCTGCAAAGGACGCCACTCTTTACGCTTATGCGCACTTTGTCAAGAATGGCGGCACGATTGCGACAATGTTTCAACTTTAGTGCCCGTGTAGCAAGTTTGATTATTTTCTCATGTTCAAGTCGTCGGAGAAGCTCGTTCCGACAGACTTACCATCACCGTCATTGTTCTGTGGTTTGCTACTAAAGGTGTGCATTTTCCCCGGTGAACTTGTGCGCGGGATTGTCCTTTTTACGAGAAAAACTTTGCAGTTCCATACATCGCTGCGGCACAGCAAGGAAAAAACCAATCGAAAACTTCAAGAAACACAAAACTCTCAAAAAGAATTTTTTTGTTTAGTTCCTGGATGGGACATGTTTGGTTACAAAATGAACTTTCCTCAAAATAATAATTTTTTGGGTTGCAATATTTGTGTTATGAGAAACTTTTTGAGTTTGGAGTGGTTCTGATATTCGGCACATAGACCCGTAATAAAAGTGTCTTTTGGAACCATACCTAAAAACACTGAACTCCCCCCAAAAAAAATTTTTACATGCTCAAATTATTAGCATATGTCAGAAAGTGTACCTAGCACTAGAGAACAAAATTTTATTGCAGTATTTATGTAGTAAGACTTATTTAGAGTGTGAAGCGATTCTGAATCATACTCCTATTTCGATAAAGCGTTCCAAAATAAAGCACCAAATAGAAGCACATCACAATACTCAAAATGAGCCGTGACCAAAACATATTACTAAAATCTTTTTCTTCTGCAACTCTTTCTGTACCGCAGTCAAAAGTAGTGATAGTTAAGGGATCGACTAAACATTTTTTATTAAAAACTACTCGGCATTTGGCTAATTATGATGCATCAAAAAGTAGCCAATAAGTTGTTCTTCAGAAGAAAAAATGGCTTGCACTAATGTCTGAAAAAGTTGTCAAATTTGTATGCCGAACTTGGAATTGGTGCAAAAATAAGACCAAAAAGTCAAGACATTTGCAGCTATAATAAATCATACTATGATTTCTAGAAATCCTAAATATACCGTATTTACTCGCAGAATGAACGCACTTTTTTTCCGAAAGATCGATGCGAAGTTTGGGGGGGGGGGCGTTCATTACGCGAAGTAAAATTTTTGCGCCCGTATTTACTCGCCTATGAACGGACCTTTTATCCTGAAAAATCAAAGTAACTTCTTGTCTCTTTGCGCGCGGCGCCGAACTCGCCCAACTCCGTAACCGAACTAAGCTGTGCAAAAAAAAAAAAGAAAGAAAACCTTTGTTTTGTTTTTTCTCTTAGTTCCTTGGGGTTTTTTTTTATTTTTTATTTTTTTTTTTTTGCTGCCTTTCGCCAGTTGTTTTGTTTGCTTAGGCGGGCCCCTAACCAAACTGCGCTGTGCAAAAAAAAAAAATACTCCTCTTTTTTTTTCAGTTTTGTGGGTTTTTTTTGTATTATTATTTTTTTTTTTTTGCTTTTTGCCGCCTTTTGCAAGCTGTTTCGTTTGCTAGAGGGCTTCTCCGCTCCCCTTTCTTATTTCCTTGCGCGCAGCCCCCGGTAACCAAACTGCGCTGTGCAAAAAAAAAAAAAAAAAATTTTTTTGTTATTTTTTAGTTTTGTCTTTTCCAAGCTGTTTAAAAAAGTTTGTTTGCTCTTTATATTTATACAGCCTGGAAATGCGCCTCAACGGGTAATCGGTCTCTTACTGAAGATGAGAAATTTAGCCAGTGTAGTACAACTGCTAACCTGGGATTTTTAACGTGCATCACGCAGTAGTGATCACACGAACGCGTGCCGGTACGAAACTCATTCAGATCACGGGCGGGGGCGGCGGGGATAGAACCCAGGAGGTTCCCAGCGCAAGCTTTCGCTCCACGCTCCGAGCTGAGACGCGTTAGCCCACTTGGCCACTTCCTCCCTTGCAAGCTGTTTCGTTCGCTTAGAGCGCTTCTCTTTCTTACCCCCTTGCGCGCGGCGGCGCGCGAACCCAAAGTCCAGACTGCGCTGTGCAAAAAAAAAAAAAGCTCCTCCATATTTTTGTTTTTTTTTGTTTTTTTTTCCGTTGGATCTTTTTGAATTTTTTTAACGCCTTTTGCAAGGCGTTTTGTTCGCCGACTCTGCCCATGCATTCGCGACCTCGCTGCACCAGGATAGAAAAGTGTGTTCATTTCGCGCGCGTGGGGGAGGGGGTCAAAATTTTTACATCCAAGTTGGGGGTACGTTTATTATGCGAGTGAAAAAAAAAGTCGAAATTTTGAGAGCCGACTTGGGGGGTGCGTTCATTACGCGAGTGCGTTCATTGTGCGAGTAAATACGGTATCGGGTGTTTGCGCCATTCTCGGCCACAATGACGGGGAGAGAGATACTTCCGGTCTTCTATGTTTACTTTGTGTTTGGGTGGATGCACAATGACTCTCGATTCACTAGCAAGCATCTGTGCAAGAGCTAGGCTCTAGAAATGCCCCAGTGTCATGCTTTTAAGTTGTCGATCTGCGCCGGCACAAACAAAATGTCACAAGTGAAGTTCTTTCGGTTATCTCAAGAGGAAGGATACCACTGACGTCGCTGAGCTTCGGTGATTGCAGCTAAGCAGATTGTGCAGTGTAACAAACACGAGGATGTGGCGTCAGTGGCACCTCGATCTACCATCTCTGTACTGTGCAGTGTAACGAACACGAGGATGGGGCGTCAGCGGCACCTCGATCTAGCATCTCCGTACAACTATAGGTGCCAACCGGGCCATTACGGCACGTGTAAATTGCGGGGTTCTTAGCTACTAACAAAGGTACCGATAGAGGAACCGAAGGGTTATCTCAACAGCAGCGGCAATGTTAAAGGAGACATCCCATACAAAATGCCCCCCACACTGGCACGGTAAGAAAAAGTCCCTACCTGGCAGGCACAGGGTTCCGGAGAGCCAAGATCGGGGAAGCATCGGCAAAGTCGCCAAGTCACGGGTGGTAGTAACCGAAGGGTTCAGCAGCGGTCTTTGATTGGGAGACGCCAAGCCTATTCCCACACCATGCAGCTTTTTCTCGAGAACACCGTTATGGACAAGTCCGAATGTCAGTCGCACAACTGATCGCTTTTCTAAAAAAGAGGAGCACGAACCACAATTGAACTGAGTCCAACAGTGTTTATTACAACGCCAAAGACACACTGTCCCAAAACCCCTGTGCCGACAAGGTCAGATAAAAGGCTCACCTTGTCCACACAGTCCCAAAAGCGCAGTTCAGAACGAGCAAAGGAAGACCTTTGCGACACGTCCAATCTCTGTTGCATACACGGGATGAGTCCCCCCATTCCCGAAGTCGGAAACACGTGTCTAATTCCTCCCCCCCCCAAGCGTAGTCATCACCCGGAGGCCAAGCGTCCCGACTTGCAGCCGTTATCCCAACCATCGGTGAAGGGAGATCAGAGGAATTTCCACAGAATGCAAGCTGACACAGTGCTCTGGGAAAAAGCCTTGAATACCGAGGCAAGCAGTCAGCACATTAGAAAATTGGGCATTAGAAAGAGTTGCGTCATGCTGAATGCAAAAACTTTCGTAAAATTGTCTGCAAAATATAAGACCCAGCTCGGCAACTCCTGTGGGGAAGCTCAGCACATATCTTCAGCGCCTGGGGGAGGTAGGTGTCGATCGGTGATGCCTCGCAGTTCACAAAGTAGTTGAACGCTTTTAAGGACTGGTAGGTTTTAAGTCGTTCTCTCTATATGGACCAGGTGGCTCGAATAAGTAGTCATGAAGATGCGCTGACGATACCTTCGGCAGATTTGTCATTTCCTTTAGGGACAAGTGCTCTTTCTTTTTACTTAGGGGATCAGGAAGGCACGTCGATCCTATATAAGTAATTTTCAGGAGGTACTGCAGTTACCTAGTCCTTGGCAGTTAAACTTTTCAAGTAAACTTCATGTGGAGGTGCATGTCCTCCAGAAAAATGTTTGTTTTTGCACACAACCTTGGTGTGTCATTGCACTGCCCCCTCTCTGCTGGCGTTTTTAGGGTTTGCAGCACACATAAAATGCGTGCCTCAGCTCAGGACAATTTAGAAAGCTAGAATGACGCTCTCCAACGAACACCTGTAGATATTCTGTGCATCGGAGGTACAACGTCGCTGTAGGAGCTCATATCACATGAAATAACGTCATCCACATCCCTCACTGCCACTGTCATCCAAAGAACAAGCAGCAAAAACAGTTAAATTGTGCGATTGAGGCTACTTCTGTAGCTGTCCCCAATGTCAGGGGGACGGCATGTGCAGGGATTTCCCTAGACCCCCCCTAGTTTTCCTGGACGCCCCTTAGATCTAAAAAAAGGAAAAAATAAAATAAATTTTTTTTTTTCAGATTAAGTAGAAAACATTACCTCTCAGGTGTATATATAGAGAAAGGGAAACATACATTACGGGTATGAGCATTTGGTTAATAGACGTCTGTAATTTAGCTAGTGGACTAAAAAAGAAACAGTTTTATATTTTATCTAGCCTCGCCTCGCATCGCCTCCCCCCCCCCCCCCCCCCCCCCCCCCCCCCCGAGCCATTGGGACACCCCCCCCCCCCCCCCTTGATTAGAATCCTGGGGAAACCCCTGGGCATGTGTGACATGTACCACCGTGACGCAGATTTATTTTCAATAGCTCACCAGCTGGGGAGAAAGTGCAAGACGAGATTGAAACCGAAGCTGTAGTTCTTCGGCTATCCATGAGATGGCGCAACATATTCCTGCTTGCCAAATTCGAATTTCGGCAGTGCGTGAAAGCCTTAGAACACAGGCGATTGATGACCAATGGGCGTGGTACAAAAGGGGTTAAGGCTGAACTGCATGTAAGCGATTTAGCGAGCGATGATACGAGCGACGATGACAAGCGACGAGATTCAGCGACGAGCAATGGAGGTTTCTTACTGTCAGTCATCGCGTTGCTTGGTTTTTAGATTTCTAAAAAACGACGCTCATTGCCTTGGTTGCTTACTCCCATCGCTTTCATGCGGTTTGCCTCGTCACGCAACTGACCGAGCGACAATAAAGCAGCTTGCCGTCGCTTGTCTCGTCTCTCACCAAATCGCTTGCATGCAATTTATGCTTTAATGTGGCCCTAAAAAAATTTTTAAGGGGAAAACATACAGTGTTGGGAAGTAGTACTACAAGGGACATTTTTCCTCCACTTTTATACATAATGTAGTTCCAATTTTATAGCAGATTGGAAATCATACCAGCCCATTCAAAGTTTTCTGTTTTATTTACTTTACTTCGAAATGTCGGGGATATCATTTACTCGTTGCACTACAACTCCTTCATTTATTGTCTGTTGTACAGTTGTGAATGTATATAATCAAAAATGCAGAAACATACTCTCTGTATTTAGCAGCTGAGAGCTGCTCAACAGCCACAAGTAAAGCGTGTTTTCGTGAAAGACTGTTGTGAGGCCATAAAAAAAAAATCACACATGTAGAGGTTACTTTTAACTATTTTCTATTTGCAGCCTGGAATCGTGCAATATTGCTTTACATTTGGTGTCTTATTGTAGGTTTGAACTGTGCACTAATGTAAGCATAAGCTTATGCAATTTATGAATAAATAACTCATCAAGAGGCCTCGTGTTGCAGGGGGAAACAGGACGATTAGGGAGGATGGCGACAGGATGGTGACAGTCGCTGAACGGACACCACCACCACCAGGCCTTGGCCTGGTGGTAGTAGCATCTATTCCGCAACTACCTGCTCTACCAGGGCACCGTCCCTTATATAGGTACAGGCCCCGTGGCGGCGACCCCCCTCGCTCTCGCGGTTCATGCGAGGTGGAGGCAAGAGGGGCCGTCGGCAGGGTTCTTGTCCGTTGGAAGCCATTTCACCCAGCTGCCTTTATTTGTTTGGAGGTTACAAGAGAGTGCCTCTTGGGCTGTAAAGGTGCGACAGTGGCCGTGCGTTCCAGTGTGTACTACTGCACTGTTGTCGCAGTAGACAAGTGTCCTGGGGGGAGCCAGGAGGAGGGCGATGAGAATAGTCCACAACTCCCTCTGGTAAATGGGTTGGGGCGACGAGGTGATGATAGCGATATTGCCTGTTGCAAGTTGAAAGCCTGTGTTGTCTGTTTGTCTTCCATGTCCCTCTTTCGTTACCGTAAATCCTGGACGTAGTCGCTGAGAAGTTTGTATTCATCCCATCCTATTCCATCAACCTACCCACGGCTGCGCGAGGTGGAGTGATACAGGATGTCATAGAGAAGTTTTAACTGCCCTTCTTCCCCCATTTTATGCAATCTTCATGGCCCATAGCTTTTATTGTTACAAAAACATAATCTATCCTTTCTCTAAAGCACAAATGGTATGGCCCAAACTGGAAACCAATACAGTGGCTTTTGTCATGGCCCGAAAGTAAAATGACCTGTTGTCCTGATTGAGCCTTGACGAGATAAGTGGTAAGACTCCTTTTGACTGTGGTCCGAGATTTGAAAGAAAACTGTGGTGGCATTTTCCCAGGACCATTCGCCCTGTGCTCTGATCAAGTTTGTTTTCTTGGGGCAGGGGGGTAAGGGCACATAAAAATTATGAGTTTATCGATTAAATCCGAATTGAACCAAAATTTTACCGGTGAATGTTTCTCCAAGTTTTGTGGATTTATCCGAGAACACGGAACCCTAGTGATAGGGCACTGCATGCCTCGTGGGATCTGGCACCGTGAGCACAGACATAACAGGACACACTTTCATAGATCACTGCAAAGTAGAGACCATACAAAACGTTTGCAATACCAAAAGTGTCAGTGTGTGTGTCTGATCAAAAGCTGTCTCTCGATCACGCAGGCCAGCCGGAAAGCAGGAAGCTCCTAAATCAGCGTGAGCTCGAGGAGATTGTGGCACCATACCGGGAAGACAGGGAACCGCTTGAGGCTTTCCTGAGGCTGCTCAGGAACAATGGCTGGTACCAGGTACCAGAGCTGGTGCAGCGGTTGGAGGCACCCCTCATGCGCCTGTGTGCCTTCTACCTCTACCACGAGAAGAGGCGCGGCTATGCGCTCAACGGCGTTGGTGAGTCCGGCTTTCTTTACTCCCCCAGATGTCACATCTATTGAGCTTATTTGGTAGTAGTAAATTCGGAGTTTCGTGTCTGTCCGTTTTTTATTTGTCCCCTCGCTCCGGGGTTAGTGTGTCTTGGTAGTAAAGCAGCATGCTTTTGCTGCAAGATGGTCTGCTGTCCTGAAGGTTTACAACATTATGTACAAAAGCATGGTGCGGTATCTTGCAAGGTACAGTAACAGTTGCTGGCAAATTCTCTTCCATTGGCCTATGGTAGGAAACCAGAGCTTTATAACATTATGTACAAAAGCACTGTGTAGTATCTTGCAAGAAGTGCAGTAACAGTTGTTGGTGAGCTGTGTACCAAACTGTGGTGTGTCTTTAAAAAGATGCAATTCCAGTTGTTGGCAAATTCTCCCTTGGCCTACTGGGAAACATACTTGATAAGGTAATTTGATTGGGAACCAACATGATTTTCCTACAAGATATGCTGCTGTCCCAAAAGTTTACATCATTATGTACACAAGCATACTGCAGTATCAGGGTGCCTAGCGACCGGGAAAACCGGGAATTGTCAAGGAAATTTTAATTCCCGGGAAAAATCGGGTAATAGTCAGGGATTTTGTCAAAAAGCGAGCCCAGTCAGTGACAATGAGCCGGAAACGCTATCGAGTACCCTAAGCAAAGACTTGAGGACTTGGGGGCAGAAAAATAGGCAATACATTCTCCTTAGAGCGGTGCATGTGCTGTGCTCACGCGATGTACAGTGTGCTACCCTATGCAAAGAGAACAGCCAACAAATCCAGTCCAAGCATTGGATTGGGTTGGATTGAGAGCGCGACACTAGGCTAGATCCAGTTAGAGCTACTTGATTTAGTAACAAATGGGAAAGCTGCAGACCCCAATCCAATGCAAGCCTTAAGCCGAAAGTACCCGAAAGTGTGCATCTGGCGGCCGTGTTGCCATTCAGACGTGTGTGGTTGAGCGTCGTGTTTACATTGTGTTTTCGGAAGTGACCTCTTCACTGACGATGTCGGCGGCACGAAAATGCTTGTTTAATCCGTACTAGAGGAACCCAAATATTTCGGAATAGGCAAGTTGGATTAAGCACAAACAAAATGATCCTCACAGTGCTCAATGCTCAACGTCTTGTGTCATAATGGTCTTATATAATAAACCGCCTGTACAGTGGTCAGGGAATTTCGCCTGAAATTGTCAGGGAAAACCTGGAAAAGTCAGGGAATTTCAAAATAATAATTTGCTAGACACCTTGCTGTATCTTGCAAAAGGTGCAGTAGCAGTTGTTGGTGGGTTGTGTTCAAAAGCATGATGTATCTTGCAAAAGAGGCAACACCAGTTGTTGGCAAGTTTTCCTCTCTTGGCCTATCGAAAAACATACTTATTAAGAAAAATTGCTGGGAAACCAGCATACTTTTGCTGCAAGACGTACTGCTGTCCCAAAGGCCTACAGCATTGTGCACAAAAGCATGATATGCCTTGCAAAGAGTTGCAAGAACAGTTGTTGGTGAGCTCTCCGGACATGCTGAATGTCACACTTGTTGAGCTGATTCGTTAGGAAAGCAGCATGCTTTTGCTGCAAGGTGTGCTGCTGTCTATGGTATTTTCGTGATTGCATACGAGAGCATGGTGTATTCTAGAAGAGGTGTAATATCAGTTTGTTTATGCTTGTGGCAGCAAATTTCCATCTAAAGAATGGTGCTGTAATTTGGAGACTCAACTGGCTTGGAGACATCTCTCCAAGGGGACTTTCAGCATCATGTTCCATCATGGTCAACTACAGGTAGGACTGTTATGAATCCTGTGCTGGAAACAAATTGCAAGCTGTTCTTAGACACAACACTAATCCTACCACCAGAAATTAAAAAAAAAAAATATTATAGTTTTTTTTAGCAGATTTTTCACCAAGGAATCACTAAAATGCAATAAGTGCAATTTTCCTGATACGCATTTTTGCTCAGATGCTGTGGTCTGCTAGATATTACCGGCAAAGCACTAATCTGAAGTACCGTATTTTCCAGTGCTTTTCAAAAAGTGTAACACACACTTTTTTTCAAACTTTTTAACGGTGCGTCTTTTTTTTTTTTTTTTTTCGGGCCGACTCCGAAGGATCTCCTGTTGATGTTGATTAGTCTTTTTTTTAACTATTATGACAGCTCAATGCAAATGATGCATCAGAAATGCAAGTCAACCTCCCAAAACTAGAGTTACATAACAAAAAACAAAACAAAAAAGAAAGTCAAGAAAACGAAAAGAAAAAAAGAAAGCATGTTGCTTTGCTAGTATTCAAGTCTCGGAGGCTGCGTGAGTCTCAGAAGTCGCGAGGTATTTGCGCAACCACACTTTATGAAGTTTTTTCGCGGCAAGTGCGTGAATATAGGTGCGTCTTATACACAGGTGTGTCTTGTATACTAATTTTTACTTAAAGCTTTGCGAAAAGTGGGGGGTGCATCTTTTACAGCGATGCATCTTATACACCGGAAAATATGGTGTGCGACAATGTGGGAAGTCTGCCACATGAAGAAATTTAAATGATGGCATTTTTTACATGAAGAGAGATTGATTGTTTTCTCATAAATTGTTTTTCCTAAAGGATGGCATTTGCGCTCAACATTTATTTCCTTTGGAGCTGCTCTGTGTTTATTTTGCACTGATATGCTGCATGTCCACTCCTCTTGTTTTTGAAGAAAAAAAGATACTGAATGACAGCTCACCCCTGAAAATTGTGTTGTCCGATTTCAGCCGATTTGCGTGACAGGATAGGCACTCAGTGTTTTGCCCATGACGACTCCTCTTTTGGCACTTTGAAGAGGAGTCGATAAACACCCGTCTCCTATAACATAAAAAACTTTGTTTTTCATTTAACATGAAGATTCTGATGTGGTGTAAGGAAACTGGTTGTAGGCATAAATGGGTAAGAAACGAGGGATGGAATTTTTCTGAGCTTTAAAGGGTCATGCATTCAATGCTAGGCCACCCCTCTTTTTTCGCTTAGTTTGACTTTTGGGGTAGTTCAGCTGTGTTTCTTAATCTTGTAGTAGCTTTTGTTGTACCATTTTGCCTGCACATGTTGCATGCTTGTTGCTGGTAAATAAGCAAGTATCGAAATGGATTGTCCTAGGTACTACCTGGATGAAATGGAGACGAACAGACAGAAATATCTCGAGCATTTCACTGTCCCTGCCTCGGACATCTTCCTTGAGCACCTGAAGCCTTTACAGTCCTCGCTATAAGAGAGGCTGTGGAGTTGCTTTAAAAATGTTGGACTGCACTTCGTAATCTCCCGCTTTATGGACAATCAGCAAGAGGCATGACATGCCAGCTGAAGAACATATGAGCCTAAAGGAGAGCACTTCTTGTTGTGCCTGTTGATGAACTATAATATTTTGAAACCTCTCTGTTGGCTCGAAAAACTAAAGCTTTGTTTTTCTATACCATGGATGAACTTTTATAGAATTGTACATAAAATGTTTTCTTTTTCCTGTGTCCAGCCTTCTTTCTTTACCAAAACAACAGTTTGGCCTACTCCTGAAATGTGTGTGTGAAGTTGTTTTTTTTACAAACACTAAGGGCCATTATAAAGAATATAAATTTTTAAATGTTGATTTTTCTGACATTCTTTAGTATAGACCCTTTCACAAATGTTGTGCTATCCAGCAGAAGTTTTTTCAAAACTACGCTAGGGCTCTTAGGCCGGCCATCATAGGCCGCCATTAATACGTTAACAGTTTTTCATAGTCTTGTGTTCCTCTGTGGCTTCGACGCTGTGCAGGGGATGTCTTTTATTTGCTGCATTTGGCTGTGGGACCAGTGAGCTGTGACAGGTAGCAAAGGAGACAGTGTGTTACCTTTTATTTTGCTAATCAGCTGAAACTGCTTAATGGTAAGGTATCTTAATATATAGATATAGAGATATATATATATACATACAGTTTTTTTAGTGGTACTCTTTTCTTCAGTTAGGCCATGCAGTAGATTCTCATTGAAATGGACTTTGACATCGGAGTGCTGTGTAAAGAAAAACATCTATAGTTTCTTTTACTCGGCTCAGACACTATGCCTGCAAGCGCTTATACAGAGTGTGTTTTGGTTTTGTGTGTGTGTGTGTGTGTGTGTGGGGGGGGGGGGGGGGGGGGGGGCTTTACAGGTTTGTTTTTAAAAATCTGAAAGCTTTACTATTGTGGTTTGTGCAGGGGAGCTACATGGCCAGGGAGAAAAATATAGAGGGCTAATTCTCATGATAAGTCAAATAATTAACTAAATCTTTTTAATTACCTCAGTAAAAATAAACATGTTTTTAATTAGAAATTTGCTGAGCTTCGTCAGAAACCACTCCATCTGAATTTTACGAAGTCTTTGAGCTTGTGGGAAGCGTAGTAGTGCTCTAAAGTCAACCCTTGTGCAACAGGCGCAAGGCTGGCGGGGAAAAGACGCCAATGATGAGAGATGGAAAAACTGTGTGGGCACATTATCGCATCGGTAGCCTTGCTCCTGCTGCAGAAGTGGTAACTACAGCGCTTCACCGTGCTTCCCACATGGTCCAAATGTTTTCTGAAAACTGATTGGTTTCCGATTACACTGAGCTAGTTTTTAATTGAAACGGTATGTTTATTTTCACTAATTAAAAAGGTAACATATTTAGCTAGTTAGCCAAGTTATCGTTACTATTTGCCCCCTATATTATGTCCCCCTGGCCGTATAACTCGCCTGAACAGCCGCATTAGTGTAGCTTTCACGGCTTCTTTTTTTTATTTGTAAAGCTTAAAAAACTTGTCATGTATATCTAGCAGGATGGTCTCATTAGAATGTCAAACGTGAGGCTGCTGCAGGTTTTTTTTTTTTTTGCCTGGGAATGTGCGAGATGTTCTGATGGTAGCATTTTAGTTGACGAAGTTTCAACTATTTGCTGTTACGCTTTTTATGTGATCCTACCCTGTAAATGTTACATAACTAGATAGTTATATGGTCCCTTTTTTATACTATGTTTACTTCAGAAGTTGACATGAATTTTCAGCTGGTGTGATAAATAAAATTGCGTTGTGTGCTTATTGGGACAGCGGGAAGTTCCCAGTCGGTGTCTGGTGTCCTCGCTATAGATGAGAAATTTAGCCAGTACAGTACCACTACTAGGCTGGGGTCTTGAACTTGTACTCATACAGTGAGATTTTACCGCTTGCCGGTACAATGTCCATCAAAATCGAAAAGGGCAGGGATGGGGGTTGGAATCCCGGAGAAAAGCTCACCGCTAAACTGGCGGATGCGGAGAAGAGTTCACCAGCTTTTGAGCAAATGCAAACAAAAACTCGCCGACCTTTTTTTTTTTTTTTTTTTTTTTTTTTTTTTGCGAGATTGTTGGATCATGCGTAGCATACGTCAATTTATTCCCATTAAAATTTGTCTGTTGTGTAAGCAAAAAAAAGTTTTTTTTTTTTTTTACTATTTGTGAGGCTTATTGGATACATTGCAGGGTTTTCCGTGGTTTACTCTGTAGGCAACGAAAGCCTAACTGAAATTTCTATGAAGTTATAAAACAGGAAAATGATTGAAAACTTAATAATGTCTGCCTAAAACCTAAAAAGCAAAACTGTAAATGCCAAAAATCCGAAAGTGCACGCGCAACAACGCAGTGCCTGAAATTCTCTTCTAAGCTTTTGTTAACCTTTCATAGAACAGCCAGTAATTGATATTGAGATTTCTTTCTTCCACGGACATGCATGTTTTCTAGCCGTTCGTGCTGGTTTTTTCACACGTTGCCTTTGATTGATAGTACCCTTCTACGGCGAACCACCCATGACTTTCGAGCTGCACACTGTCACCGTTGTTTCTAGTCCTCTGTACTAAGGTAGCGAATCGGGCGAATTGGTAATCGTTATAGACGATGAAAACAGCTCAAACGGCAAAGACGGAGTGAAGACAATTAACACAACATGACAAAGCTGTTCTCGCAACAAAAATTTTATTAGCAAAAAAAAAAAAAAAGAAACAGCATAGCCGAAGTTACACCTACTCATTTATCAGGCACCACACAATCTTCGCGACTGAAACGGTTCGCACAACGCTATTCATAGCTTGCAAAAAGCCAGGGATGGGCAAAATACATGCAAATATGTATCGAGATACAAATACAAAATACTTCGTCAAAAATGTATTTAATTACAAATCTAATTACATTTCCAAAAAAGCATTTAAGTACAAGATACAAATACAACCAAATATATTTGGTATCCTCCAAATACTTTTCCAAATACATTCCTCAAAATATGCGTCAGCGACTTCAGGGCACCTGCAACGGGTTTCTGGGTATCTCATTTTAATTTTGCATCGCACACTCGGGAGTTAGTGTGCGAGGCTCTAGTAACGAAATAGAAATATAATTTAAAAAACATGTGATCAGCTTGGACGTAATAGGTAATCAGCTTGGACGATTACATTTCGGTATAGACCAACAAAAAATCGAGACGACCAAGACGCGCAGCACTAGCTAGAGAAGTTTTTTTTGTTGCAACTCGCACCAGTTACGACAATCTGGACGACCCGCGCCTTTAAAATGTTCCAGGCAAAAATATGGACAGAAATCAGGCTGGAAAGCATCACAAGTTTTCACAGGCACTTATTTAGCCAGTCTGCCTGTGAACGCCGATTTCGTCACTATTCTTGCCCTGGTCTAGCACCGTAATCACAAAGTCAGTAAACGCTTGTGCTTGATTGAGAGACACTGCATTCGGTGCAGAACGTAATTTTCTTCCTGCTCTGGACAGTGACAATAAATTTGAGGGATGTATTTTCGCCCACAAAATTGTATTTAATTACAATTGTATTTGAAATACCCACGTTTTAGTATTTAAACACACACGTGAAATACATTACCCAATTCGTAATTAAATACAAATGCAAAATACACAAAGTATTTGAAATACGTATTTCAAATACTTGTATTTGAAATACTGCCCATCCTTGTAAAAAACAAACCTTCATCTGACAGCTACCGACGGCGCACCGTCAAGCCTTTTTATACTCTCTGCTCTTATTTTATACTTGCGGCGTGATTAATAGACAAAATGGGTGATTACTAATTTCTGAGGAATTAGTAAATATAAGTCATTAAATTAACAAAAAAAAAAACAATTTTTTTTTTTTTTTTTTTTTTTTTTTTTTTTTTTGTTTTATGAAGTGATGAATTTTAACTGTGCCACGCGTGACGCACAATCCGCTAAGCTAAGAAAAAAAAATCTGTGAGCTTTTCTCCGCATCTGCCAGTTTTGCGGTAAACCCAGGATCCCTACATGTTTTCTGCAGTGAGTGATTGCGTGATAAATGGAGAATGATGTTGAATGTTCAGAACTTGTTTTCCCCTTCAGCGTACGTGCTTTTATCCTTGTGAATTTTCACCCACCTCAAAGTAAAACACATGTGCATAAATAAAATTGTCAATGTTTCAAAGAATAATGGTGATACTTTTGTGAGTCTATGGCACTGGTAAAGGAATCATTGCGTTCTCTTCTTAGTCCCTCTTATTCCAAATAAGTCTAATTGCTTATTTACTAAAGGAGTTTTTGTAGACATATTTTTGTCGTGTTGATGAAATTGTTGCTAATGCTGATTATTGTTTGCTGCCGTGCCTACTCGCATCTACGGGGCATCTGGCGGAGGGGGGCAAGCTTTAGTGGCGAAGCTCCTTACGGTCTAGCCTTGTCCATCCGGCGTCCCTGTTCACATCGATTGCCATCCCATCTGTCTTAAAAAAAGAAAAAAAAAAATGTTTGCGCAGTCGACAGAATTCGAACCTGTGCGGGGAGAACCCACTGGATTTCTAGACCATCGCCTTAACCACTCGGCCACGCCTGCGGGACGAGTAGGGGGCTCTGAGATGTGGTATTAACTCAAGAGCTGGGGTTAATAAATAAGTAATAGTGATAAGTAAGTAATAAGCAGTAATAATGAAGTCGAAACGCAACCCAGAACTCAGCACTACCTATGAGCAATAAAAAAAAAATGAGCACCATCAGTACTACCCATGAACAATAAAACCAGTATCATCAGCGCCACCAGAGCTTCGCCCCAAGCAACATCATTCACCACGTGGAGATGTGATTTTTTTTTTTTTTTTTTCTTTTTCATTTTGAAAATAAGTAACGCATCGCAAAACATTCAGCCTCAACCCAAATTTAGTGCCAATGGTCCAGACCGAAAGCCAGAGTTCCAGAGGTTGACGTGATCTGATTAAAATGTTGTAAACGAATTTCGGATATTTTCCATGAGAAAATGGCAGTCGATGAAGTCCATAAACACGTGGAGATAAATGGCGTCGTGCCCACTGGGCGCCGCCATGCCACGCTTGAGGAAATGTCTATTTTCTTATTCTAATGTATATTTGCTGTAGGGTTTCCCGGAAAGGCTAGCTATTCTTGGAAATATGTAACCATAGTTTCCAACGGTAACTCTTTAATTAAGGTGCTCGATCTAAAAATAGGATCCGGAC